CGCTCAAAGGGTGAGGGCAAACCACATGGCTGAACTACTGGGGCAAGTCGCAGCTCGTCGAATGCCCGAGAACCAGCTTTCCCGTTGGGCACACCACTGGTTTGACCGCCTCAGTGCTGACACCACTGGGCTTGAAGAAGGCCAAGAGCCCCGCACCCAGTGGACGCACCACTCGCAGCCCATTGTCGTCGGCCTGCGGTGTCGGATGACTTTGTTTCATTCTTTCGGAGGGCCATCTCTTTTTCATGCCTTCCAGTCGTTGGGACACCTACGGCTTTAACGGCTTGAGATGCTCCTACAGGGCTGAGCATTGCCCATTGAGACTGACCAACTGGCCAAGCCGAGCAGATCCAAAGAACGAAGCGAACAAGCCAAGTGCCAAGCCATAGAACTGACATGAACCGACCAACCAATTCAGCAACGAGCTCAGCCAACCCACCACATCAACCCAGCTATCCGGCTCACGCCGTCTCAAACCACATCAAGCCAACATGGAAGCAGCTCCAAGAATTGGTTCAGATTCACGTCACCTGTCATAACCACAAACACAAACGACCACAAAATGAAAAACAGGTTGCTTCCTCCCTGCAGCATGGCCTCCAACCTATAATAGCAATGGCCAACCTAATGGCGATGGCCTCCAACCCCTACCAGTTTCCGCCTTAAAGTCCTTCATCTTCACTTGGACCTGCTCCACCCGCGATGGCCGCCAGTGGTGCAGCAGCCACTGGCCCAAGCGCGCGCGGCTCGAGGGATCGGGCAAAGCGGCGGCCACCGTGCCCCAAATGATGCCGTTGGGTGCATGGGAATCCTGCACAGCTTGGGGAGGCAAAGCTGGAGAAGGAATTGTGATTTCTTTTGTTTGGTCACTGATCGTCCCCGGACTGTGGGTGATCACCTGGCTGGACCTGTTTCCAGCTTCCAAACCCTCCATCTGTCTCCAACCAGCCACGACTTCCCATCCTTTTCACGCGATTTGTCTTTGAATTCACCCATGCGTTCCTCCATTTGGAGCGTCAGCTGCAAGGCTTGCTGCCAGCGAGAACTCGTGGTGCAAGCGCTGATGGCACTGTTCAAGGGAACCTCGTCCATCTCGATGGCCAGGTCGCCTCAGATCGCCGAAGTGAAGTGAATTCGCCGAACGTCGGCCTCGAGACGCCGCACAGTACTAGCCTCCTTTAGAATGGCACTGAGTAAGCAAAACCTTTAAGCAAAACCTTTTGTAGTGTATATTGCCAGTATATAAGACTCATCACCCCATTTTTGGAACAGCTCAGGTGCACATCTCCTCGAGCATCTGCATGGCCATGTCCCAACGCGAGGCTTTCTCGCAGGAGCTGATTAAGGCCTTACTCGATGGTAGATTCAAGGACTCAAAGGCTTCAGAGATCTTCAGAGTAAATGACACTACAATGAGCATTGTAAACCTCAAAAGGTGGATTCTTCATAAATCCCATATCTGTGTTCTTTTCTTTTCAGGTCTCCATTTCTCATCCTTTTCTGTTCCATGTTGCCCCATCTTCTACGATGCACACGCCGGGCGTCGCTGTAGCACACCTGCTCCACACGGTCGCCCATCTTCCTCGCGACTCGAGCGATCGGTCGACGCCGCGCACGGGACGAACCCACCGAAGGCATCGGTCGAGGTTGTCGAATTGTGCGTCTTTTTGCATTGTTATCCTGTCATATTGGCTATATAGGCTAGAGGATGTCAATATCAGTTGCAAACTGTTGCTGTTACAGCGAACGGAATCAACCCAGCTGCTACCATTTCAAGGGCCACACAGCCCTGAAAGGCATAGCACCCGATAGCACCCTGTCCTATGGTCCTATTGTTGGGGAGCAAGCAAAGGGAGGCCCCCGGCATGCACATCTATCCCGAAATGAAAGCGAGCTCCTGTACAAAACTTGAGGCATTTTCACCTAACCATCAGGACACGTGAAGGCTTTTCCAAAGCTGACCTGTCCTGAAAATGGCCAAAGCTCTTTGCCACTGCTTCGCGTTGCCGCAGGCGGTCAGGACACTTCCTGAGAACAACAAAGCCCGATGGGGTTGTTCAAGCCCGTGCGAGCCCGACCAGGATGGAAGCGGCCGACCGTGTGCCGAAACAGAATCTATCTGCAGGAACGGACGTAAGGACGACTGACAGGTCGAAAAGCATCACCAGGTTTCTGGTGAGACGTGTTGAAGGGAATGGTACCTGACAGACAGGTCTATTTTCTGCATATTTCTGCATATTCTAGGACGGCTACAGCCTTCCAAAGGTGATCAAAGGGGTATATCTCTGAAGGCCAAGCTGCCAACCCCACACCTTATAAACTCTGAGATAAGCTCTGCAAATGCTGACGGGATGCTTATTGAACATAAGCCCCACCCACCCCGCACTTCTTTTGGCTGTGTACCGCTGACTATGAGGAAAGAAAACACCTAGCTTGGCTTGGCCCTCTTTTCGGCTGTCTGCTTTAGCATCGGCCAATCGTAACCTGTCATCCAAATGAAATCTACTTACATCTTCTAATTCTTATCCGGAAGCCGCTTTTGTCACACAAGTATCTTCCTGTATATAAACAAACTTCCCTCTTCATCAAGCAGTGTGTGTCTTTATCGTCCAAACGTTATCTTACTTGGATCGGTATTGCAAGTCTTCCTAAACTCTTCGTTGACGTGCGGCCGCGGAATATTGCCATTTCCGCAACCACAACCATGAAAAGCTGTGTGACTTATTCTACCGCGGTTAGTTCATGGTCTTACGTATATAATAATTATTAGATCCAAACTCTCGGAAAGGTCTTCTGACGGTTTTCTCCTTCAGGCCCAGTCTTTGTAAGGATGCCCTTCCTTCATTTATAGACTCTTTGCTTTGCCCAAGTTCAACCTTTTATTCAAGGTCATCCGTCAAAGCACCGGACCGTCACATGTATAAGCACATGCAATAAAGACTATGATGACAATCTATGATTTCAAACAATCATGCCTCATCCAGAAGCCTCCTCTATCATCTATCAGTATCATGCAATGCTCTCCTTCTGTGCGCAGCTCTCCTCCTTTCTACAAGTCTGCTAGTGTAGTTGTGAATTGGCCTTGTTCCGCATCAAAGGTTCCTCTTGTCAGGGTCACAGCTTTAAGGTTCCTAGTTTAAGAAATCTACACATTGGTAAATAAAGCAGGATTCATCAATCTTAATGCATAATGAGATATAAAATGATATATTTAAAAACAGTTCTCCTTTCGAGCAACTCTCTGTATGAATTTCTGTTCTAGATCCTGAACCTATGTGCACTTACGTTTACAGAGAGGGGGAGAGAGAGAAAGAGTGCAAGTTCGAGCGAAACATAAATTTGAATCCAGATTGCTAAGCTGAGCCCTGAAACATCTTGGAGATATGTTCTTAAATGTTCTTAAGAAATGTTTATATACCGCAGGTTGCTTCTCAACATTTTTCAGAAGAGCCATGTCTATAGATAGAAAAAAATTAGGGAAAACATTAAAACACACCGACTCAGAAGAGAGAGAGAGAGAGAGATGTGCCCAGTGCCCCTGGAAACAAGAATAGAAAAAGCTTGTGAACAAAAAGCTCAAGAAACACCGGAAGAACTAAATCAGAAATGGTCCCTTTAATCACGCCTATGACACTAAATGTACGAAAATCAGAAACACATGCCCCATCACGGTCAGCGCTTGGAAAGAAACAAGGTCATCTGCCAACATTCTGTCTGGTCTCTTGACCACCTCGGTGCCTGTCTTAAGAACACAGCTCAAGCGTCCATAGGTCAAACTGCTGGTGGGGAGATCCTTCACCAGCATCTCATCCAACAGTGTCAAGACCATTTCCCAACGCCCGCCAAATGAACAGGCGCTGATCGCAGTACTGTAGCCTGCGAATGCGCTCGCTCGTGCAAGTAATCTACCCAAACCATCCAGAGGACTGGAATAGTTGCACGTGTACCCATTTATGACCCTACGGAAAGCAACTACTGTATATATAGTCCAGTCCCATTTGGCTCAGCCCGGTCAAGACTTCTTGGCACCATGTACCCGCAGAATCTCTCACAGATTGGCGCCAGATTCGGCTACCCAAGTATATAATAAGTAGCTCGATTCACCAGCTTGCCACACTTTAGCGGGCAACATTATTCATTCTATAGCTGCAGGTCACAAAAACATCGAGAAACTGTTTGAGTTTCCTCCAAATAGGCTTCGCCTTCCGGGGTGTTGGGCATCTTCTTCCCCAATGGGGTCGAAAACACATCTAATTAGCATCATCCTCCAAGTGGCTGACATCATCTGGTGTCAACTGTTCCAGCTTCATCGTTTGGAGGAGCTCCAGCGCCTGGTCCGCTTGAGAACCTCCAGCTGCGGCTCCACCGAGGACGAGTTCGTCCGTGGACGAACGCCCGTCGGCTGGGAAGAAGGGCCGTCGGCTGCACAAACGACGGGCGGTGCTGCAGGTCTCAGCGGTGATTTTTTTGGAGCAGCACCATTTGATGGACGAATTTACGTTGGCAAGCCCTTCCAAATCCTCCAGTCGAAACTTTTCACAAATGTCACATCGTCTTAGTATGTTCCTCTAGGGGATGGGTGCCATACTTAAATTCAATCAGTGTGCCATACCAAGATGGTGTTGACCCTGTGGAGGCCTTTCTGCAGGAATCTGAACTGGACCAACTGCATCCACTTACTACAAGGATTCGTGAACCAACATTCTGCAGGGCAGCCACTTCTGCAAGATCTTAAGTTTATTGCATCATTTGCCTTATAGCCTCTCGTGGTTGTTCGCGACATGCTTTGGCTGCCCCTGCAACAAAGACTTTCGATCACCTGGGTCATCATTCAGGATATGCCGCCTACTTTGCTACACTGTGCTATAGTAGGTAGCGAACTCAGGCGCGTCAAACGCCCTACGGTTTCTCTGAAAGCCCTGGCCCAATCCGCACACACTGCTGTGCCTTTTCCGCACGCACTCATGGCGACGTTGTAGGTGACTTCTGATGCTGGCACCTCGCAGCTCGGAGTCGAACAGCGCTTCGCAAGCCAGGCAGGTTCAACTCTATGTCCAAAAACAACATCCAAGAGTGCCCAAGACTCTGTCTCCTGATTCCTTTTGCCTTTGCTCTTGAGTTCACCTCCTGCAAACCATAGTCTCGAGGACTCTTGCCAATGAAGAGATTCGTCGTGCGAACCCACTCAGGTTTTTCAGTCTCCGAACCTTATATAGCTTCCGGGAGGGGTTATATATTCGGTTATTCATCCCAACATATCCAGCTCTGGTCTAGCCTAGGGCATAGCACTTGAATTGCATTCCGTAGCTCATCGCTACCATCGTGCCTTTCGAACGGGTCGACCGAGGCACCAGGTGCCGCTGGGTGTCTTCGAGCAGCTGCAGAGCCAAGTCCCACTTGCCGCGCTTCTCACAGGCGCTCAAAACACTGGTGACGTGGAAGTGATTCATGCTGACCTGCGGAATCCGCGACGGACCGTTCCTTCGTTCCGATCCGTTCCTGTCGTGGTTCATGCTGTCGTGCGACATGATTCATGCTACCAGCTAACCACCTGAACCACGAGTTGGTCGGAATTCGGTGGGTTTTTCGTGGCCAGGAGGGATCTAGGCCCTCGGTGGGCATGGATGGTGTTGGACATGACTCTTTTGGAATGGACATGCACAAATCATCTAGAAAGCCCCAAAACAAGAAAACACACCTCTCAGTCACCGACTGATTCAATAGCAATGGGTGAGTGCTGCCACGCTGCCCGCCTCGTACTCCAGGAGGAAGCGCATCACTTTCACAGAGACCTCGGTTGCCCACATCACTGTGCTCTACCCGGAGCACACAAGCCCGTCATTGTCAAAGCATGATGCCTTTTGTCCCCAAATGTGCAAGCTACAGAGCATCCCTTTGGCACAGTTTCATGCTTGAATGATATCCATCTGCCTAACCCGATCTAACCCGCACATCCTGTAAAAAGATGCCACACTTCGTCCCAGCTACATCCCATAACGCGCGCTTGGCCAAGCCGGTTAAAACGGTGGTGACCGCTCTAGGGTTGCCGCGCCAAAACCTCAAGCACGGCTTGCAAGCATCAAAGACCAGCCCTTGCGATGGGTGAGGCCCCAGCCTGGGACGGTGGACGTGACGAACGAGGCAGCCTGGGACCATGCAAGTGCTAAACTGGTTTAGAAGCAATGCCTTGAATGTTTGAACTGCAGAGTCCCAGGTCACTAGCAAGCATCACCAGAATGTACTGAACCAACATGTAGACGGTTTCCAGGCAGTGTGCATGCCTTTGAGTGGCGATGGAGGGGTTGGGCAATCAGTTGAGGACATTGAAGAGTGTCTTGATCCAATCAGTCGCACCACGCCCAATACTCCAGGGGTCTTCGCTACTCTGGTTCACCAAGGCTGGGTAGCTATAGCTTTCCCTTTTCCAATTCCAATAGGAAGCATCCAAGGGTGCAGATGTGAGTCGTTAGACCTCTGTGCCCCTTGATGAAGTCATTTGAAAAGACCACATGTCAAAGCACAAAATATCACAAAATGGTGTTCAGGGTCAAGGTTACCTTTCAGAACATGCGGCCTCACCTCGAATCTGATGCAACTCGATGATTAATTGGTAGTTCGCTTCTTCTCCCACCGCACGGCCTCTTCACCCACTCACACCACTTACAGCATGAGGTCCTTTAGATGGGGGTCCACATAAACCACCTCTTGGGGTCTGTGCCATTGGTCCTCTCAATCCACGTCTAAGGTTTCCACAATCTGTCCACCCAAGGCACGAGACGAGCGTCTGCAAAATCTCCGGCGGGCGACCCCGCCCGAACCGTCGGGCCGCCGCGGAGGGCGCGGAAGGCATGGAGATGGAGTCGTCCCACACGAGATTCCGATCGAGCCGCTCGTAGCCAGGGCGACATCATGTGTAGCCAAGAGTGTTGCAGGGTCCAATGAGGAGACCAAAAGCAACCGAAGTACCCCGTATACCGTAACCGCTGAGACAGCCGCCCGCTGAGACAGAAACGCTGTTCAGGGTTCTTGCAACGAGAAGGCTAACACTAAGGAAAAGCAACTGGAAAGCAACTAGATGTGATTGCTGCAGCGGTAACTCTGGTGTGGATAGTCCCATCTGCAGCTGTCCCCTGACGTAAAGGACATGTCCGTCAAGTTGAAAAGGACATGTCCGTCAAGGGAAACTTTAATCACATGAGGTTACAATGTTACAATGAGGTTACAACAGTCGCCGTGTATGCATTTTGAGAGATCTTTAGTTATATATATATATATAAATAATAATAAGTGGTTTTATGATGTGGTTTTCACTGATTTGCTTCAAGTCGCACAGTCCACGCATGCTGTGCCAACATGATCCAAAACTCTTCTGCCTAGGACTGGCTAGGATGTAAATGCCACTTCATGCCCTGGGTGGGGTTGGAGAAAGCAAAATTTCACACCCGTACCTCTAACGAGCAATCAGGCTTCGGCTGAATCTAAACAGAACGCAAACACAAAACAAGATTTGATCCTCAAGTTCTACAGAACCACTGAAAAAGCAGTTGAGTTCTGTGTCCGTACCAGCCACTGTATTTCAGTTCCACCGCCGGACCGATGTCCTTGCGTTCGTCTGGGCTATCCCACCATGTCCAACAGGCTGTCGAGCTGCTCCACAAAAGTGCGGCTCTCCAGCCACACATCCACCAGGAGCCTAGGACGATCTGACGTGTGATTTCAGGAGCCTAGGGTGACCTCCAGCATCCTCCAGCTGCGGACGGAAGTTTGACTCCATGCCTGGATGGAAGTTTGATGAAGTTTGTGAGAACCAAAAAATTCTCGAGGGATGTGCCTTCAATTTAAGGCCTCCACTAGAAAGCAAAGTGGAAAATGGGGGAAACCCGACAAACCATATCTGCCATCTCATATCTTAATTACATGCCCAATAGGCCCCACAGTCCAAAGGATTAAAGGATTCTGATTGAGTTAGATTTGCAAAACATATCACGATTGCATCCCAATAGTGCCCCGCCGAATGGGTCTTGATGAAGCTGGTCCGAGCGTTGTGATAAGGTTCTTCAGTCACATGACTGTTTTAAGTTTCCATGCGCATATATTACAAATAGTCATCCTGGATCCAGTAGATCTAAAGCGGTGGTGAAAGTGGACCTTCCAATGTTTGCGACACTGTAGTCCAACATGGTAATTATACATGTTCATGCTGCATTGTGTATTTGGATTCTTGTGTTTGTCTCTGAGTCCTTGCGTCTCTGCCAGGTATATCGGTCACTCTTCCGGCTTATCGACCTGTTCAGCATTTTGTGCACCGAACCCCGGCCACACCGTGATTCCCGAACCTCCCGATTCCTGAACATCTTGGCGCCCCGAGCGTCTCAGTGCCACTGGGCACCAGCCTTGGCACGCCAACATCTCCAATGTGGACACAACCCCCCAGAAGTTCCGTTGGATAAACGCGACATATCATATCATATCATCAGATTCTGCTATTTTCATGGCACCAGGCTCACAAACACTAAGTGGGCTCTACGCAAGAATGTGCAACATCTTTGTGTTGTTGATGATGGAAGGGAGTTGGCCAACCCACGAACAATGAAAAACCGTCTGTCCTACCAAGCTGGGAACATGATTTCGTCTGTGCGAGGCGACTTTGGCAAACGCCTAAGTCAACCAGAAAGAAGCCGGCCATGCCAGCCATTTCAACTTCTAAAGCCCTCATAATCCCTCATACAGCAACACACTCAATGTCTATTTCGGACATCCCAGCTGGTCCTAGAACTTGTTCGATCAAGCCCAACAAAAAACAAGAGAAACACCTTGCTTCCAACTGCCTTTTCTCTCACCTTTCAACCGCCTTCGCCCAGTCGCCGGTCGACCACGTCCCTAAGCTCCGGGCACTTCCAAGTCCTGACGCCGGCGCGTCCGGCCGTACTCCGGACCAAAGCCGTCTGCTTCGCGAAGACCGGCGCGGGGAGCCCGGGTGGCACAGGCATGCACAGGCACGTCCGCCTTGGAACTTTAAAGCAAGTCTGGCGAGCAAGCCCCTCCAAGTCCCAATCCCGCCAATGGTTCTGAGAGGCGCTGGGCCGGCAAGGAGCGCAGCAATGTTGCACAGCTGTGCACGTCGTCGCTGAAATTCATGTGGAATCAATTTGGCAATCTTCTGTTTCAGTATGGCACACGCACGGCAACTCGCGATAAATTGTGCAGCAAGAAGAGCAGCGGTCATGTTTCATATGACTTTCCGTCCGTTGTAATTCTTCTCTGGGAATGCCCTCGTTCCCCGACAGGTTTAGTTCAAGGCTTCGGTGAACCAGGTATAAGATCCCCCCTTAGCATCCCTTAGCAGGACCTCAAAAAATGTAACCGTATGACTATGTCCCCTTACATATGCCTGAAACATGTAACTTACATTTGTTAGGCATTGACTGAAACATGTAACTATTGCACGTTACATGTTTCCAGGCCAACATGTAACAATCTATGGGAACATGTAAGTTAGATTTTTGGGGTCCAGGATGGTCCGGGGTAATACTACGCAAGACTTAGTGAGATTTGGCTCTTGTCTTGGTGTGTGCGTTTGGTTGGCTCGTTCTGTTTTGGGGTTGTGTGAGGGTGTTTTGCAATGGTACTCTGGGCCATGGTGGCACATGTATGGACCTGACTCCCAGAACAAAATGTAACTTGGGTGTGTGCAGGGCTTTCAGGTGTGCATTTTCACCTGGTATGTGATGTGTGAAGTTGGCCTTGGTGATCTGCATCTGTTGATGGAAGAACTCCTGCAGCCCTCGAAGCAACGATTTGGATCTCTCCGTAGAAGTATGTCGATCTACCCATCTAGGTGGGTCACAACAACTGCTTTTGATTCGTCCAACGGTAATCATCTAGAATCTAGAAATGCTGGATCCTCATGACCTTCGGGGATGGGGGGTGGCCTATAAAATGTAACTGTCACGCAAACACCAAGTTACACTTTCCAGACCCCCTCCCTCCCCCTCAAAAAAAAGAGGGAAGGGGGTGAGAAAATGTAAGTGAATCGCTGGCAGGCATCATGTTACATGTTCAGACCTCCTCCCCCCTTCATGTACCTCAATTTTGGGCCTGGGGGGGGTAAGTTACATGTGTGAGGCTCCTTTAAGACTTTGAAGCACAAGCCCATATCATGAACATTGAACATCCCAAGGTCGGAGGCGTCATTGCCGCACCGCAAATCATCTTCATTGCATTTCAACACCAGAAATCTGTGACACCCTGTGTAGCAGTGTAGCAGGAGAGCCGTTGGCTAACTCGTGTCATCTTGTATTTTGCTTCAGAAATCCTTGGTTCATGCTGTTGGCTCGTGTCTCTATACTGTTTGACCGTCTCTGCCCTTTCAACTCAACAAAATCAATCCTGTAACTGCAAACATGCCATCCAGTCTGTCCCCGTTGTCCAGCTATGTGTTGTATGATGTTGTTAAGAAACCGCTGAGTCGCCTTCTCCGCGGCAAAGCAGTTCCTTCCCAAAGTGTTGGTTGACATCATGCCTGGTTCTTCAGCGGCTTCATGATGCCTTCCCTATTGCACCGAAACCCTCCCCGCAGTTCCTGTCATTCCAGCACCACAGGGCCGCAACAAAGTGGGATGATTCTCGAACTGCTCATCAACAGAGGGTACTTCTGTGTAAGGATTCGTTCCGGGAATCCAAGCAAGTCCACCTACCAGCCAAGTCTTCTTCCCCAGGAGATCCGGAGACTCTGACCCTCTGACCCTCGGTGACTGATGTTGGGACCGTCATGGCTGTCCATCCCAAAAGAGTGAACGATACACTGAGATCTTGTACTAACCAGAGATTGGAATTGTTGAAATAGTTAATGTTGAAACGGAATCGTTATGTTTGCATCACCTAGTTACTGTTGGACGAGGTGATGTCTTAGACGGCAGGTATTGGGTGGTTCTGCAGTGCCCGGGTCAGAAACACCAAACAAATGTGTAGAACATGCAAAAATGTCAGGGTGTCCATCACATCTGGGCAACATTCATGCTCCCCGCCCCAAGTCGGGTTATATCCATATGTGGCACACACGCACACACCAAACAAATACAAAAACCTATTCTGACACATAACGCTCAACAATGCCAAAACTATCCAAAAAAACTATCCAAAAACTATGACTTATTTATTTCTGCAGAATGTAAAAACAAACACCAAACTAGTAAACGTGGCCAGGCCAGGCTTAGAAGGCTTGGAACATCATACCTTGCATGGCTTCACCAGCCGGGGCCGGAAGTCTCCACCATCACCACCCTGGGCAGATCCTCATCCAGGAGAACTCGCACTCGCACCCCTTCTGCTAGTAGATGCGCTAAAGTGAGTAATTCTTCCAAAGGTGGCGCAAGCTTACCCCGGACCCAGCCTGACACCAGGGGCTGGACTCGGTGGCGAGGGTGTTATTTCAGACGCCCGAACACCAGCGATATGGATCGCTCACACGGGCAGCCAACAAAGGATCGGTCACAGCCAGAAGGGCTCCAGTACCTCTTTCAGATTTCAAGTTGAGATGCCCAAGGGAGAACGGCACACGTTTCATGTGATGGAACTCTTTTTCGGTGCCGTTTCCAAGGGCATGGACCTGTCTTCATGTGGAAGTTGGGTGGCGCAGTTGCTGGAGTGGGGGCAACTCCCACTCCACCAGAACCTCCATGCCCATCCCACTCCACCCGCCTCGTCGAAGTCGCACGTGAGGCGCGCCGAGTAACGGCCATCGCTGGCCACGGCTTTGCTGTACTTCATTTCCTGGACGGATCTGCACCCAGCCAATCCGTCGAACAACGGACCATCTGGATGACTGGGGGCTTTTCTTCGGCCCCATCGACGAACTCTGGTGATGGGGGGCTGACCCTCAAGCTGTTGGAATATATTGGAAAACCCAGATGGGGGGCTGACAGCTGAGTGGCAAAAGAAGAGTCACGCAGCTGTGGCGCCCTCCTCGCACGCCCACGCATGGAGAGAACAGGTCTTAACCGTTCGAAACCTCCCTGAGGAGCCAACATCCATGCTTCGAGGGGCCACCCACCAAACCAACACCAGGCACATCCTGCAAAACTGTGCCTCTGCAGCTCTCTGAGTGCCCCGGGCTCTTCTCTCGGTGGTTGGTTGGCCTTCCACCCATCCTGCATGGTGCAGCGCCGCATGACGCCCTTAACCTTCGTCTTTTGAGTCAGAAAGTGCCACTTATATAGGGATGCAAATGTAAATGTACAAAACTTGTGAACATCAATTACACAATCAATTATGTCCCCCCAACACTATTCCCGAAACCGTTTCTTCTGTGCAATTCTAAGTCACAACAGCCGACCACCCCCGAGACTCGGCAGCCCGGCGGATGGGCGCTCGGCCAGACTGCAGCATGATTCGGAAGCCACTGGTCTCAAACCTCATCCGTGGGGTGATTCTGGGTGCTACGGACCCAGGCACATTGCCAGTGAGAAACAAGCTGCTGGGAGCTGGGAAACCATGTGTGTTTTGACCCCAAGTTGATTGGAGGAGCAGTAGCATTCAGTGGCATTGGCGTGAGTTGTCCAATTACTAGACTATTCTGCTGTTGACGTCTTGATCCTGCTGCCATTTATTGTGAGGAAAGAAACGTGAATATTAGTCAGTTTGGAGTCGAATTAGTATAGTAGCAATTTATTGTCTTAGTAGGCAGTGGTGAAGGTAGATTGTCAACTCTGGTGTGTTGGTGCACACCCATAAACATCCAGCTGTAGTTGAGTGCGACACTGTGAAGCACTTGTATGAATCCTTGTTATTCGTTTGTCTGCCACACTGGCACTTCAGACAGGTCCCCATGCTCTTGGTACTGCTCTTGGTGAACTCAACGCACAAACACAAAAACATCAAACACATGTACAGTACAAGCGGCGTACTTAAGTCAACCCACGTCGCGTGAAGTCAACTCACTGCATGGGCAACCCACGCGCGTGAAGTCGACTCCTTTTGGTTACAGCACAATGGGCACACTTGAAAAATGAGCACGGCCGGAAAGTGGTTTGTTCAAGGAAAAGTGTGCGCACACTGTGTTATGGCTGGCATTTGTCCTTGCTTTCTAGATGTTTCAAGCCCAAATCTCAATGGCACAGCACCATTCACACCAATGCACAACTTAGAGAATAGGTTGTGTGCGCACACACACAAGTGACTCTCGGCCTGCGCGGACCCCGCGCGAGGTTCGCGCGAGCACGACTCCTACAGTCGTCCTACAGCTTCCTACGGTCAACCAACACAGAAGCAGCAGGAGCATCAGCAGCCAACCAGAAGCAGCAGCAGCAGTGGAGCATGGGTCCAAGGAGCTCTGCATCAAAACCCAAATCCTTGACCCTTCACCCCTGTGGAAGCTGCCCTCCCCCAAAGAACAGATTCACAAATACAAACAAGTCAAGTGACAATCAGGCACACCATGGGCACAACACAAAACATATGTTATAGATCAATACAATCTATGCTTAGACATCCCTGTGGAGTGCAGTTCTGCAAGGGCACACGGTTTCGGGTCGACTTTACACAAGCTGAGTCGACTTAACGCTAGTACCTAGTATGTCACGACAGGGCGTAAAAACTGTCATGTGAGGATCTCTCTAGAAGGGGAATGATTGGGTCCAAAACGGCAAACTGCTACCCGCGATGGTCGACCACCCCTGGGGGTTCCTGCAAGCCAGGCGTGTAGCCAAAGCTTTCGAACCTCGAACTTGCGTTGGGGCTGGTTGCAGCCACAAACCAGTCACCCAACTGACCAGCTGCTAGAGTCTGCTAGAAAGTGGAGCATCTATGTTCGCGCAGGTGCCATCCTCCTTTTCCAGGACATGTACAATAAACCATATAATATTAATATACACTGTCTACATAGTCATGTATAGTCTAACCAAACCTCAACCCTCCATCAAGCTCCATTGTCACATGGTCACTCCACAGGTGCAGGCGCTGCAGGTCCATTCACTTTCGCACCACCGGTGCCTGCTTAAAACTGACCTAGGTATCCGCCCTTGCACCACCTAGTAGATGTATCTCCTGTTGAGTTGCCAACTATTGTCATGGGTTGTCTCACAATGGATTTTATTCCTGAACCCATGACTTGTAGTCTCTTGCTCTTTTGCCACCTGCCAATCCTTTGCCTGCTTGTCTGAAACAGCTGCATCTGACATGTTCTACCCCCGCCACCCCCCGCATTCTACGATGAAAAGAATATGAGAAGCCACTGTAACCTTGAAACCACCTCACTACACCCTCCATTCTCCTCGCTACTGCTAGTACACACCGAGGTTGTTACCACTACCTGCAATCTCCACCGCTCACCTCTGCACCTCTGGGCCTCCCGGGCTCTACGGAGCCCACGCGCACCTGTAACGGCTCACCTGTTCTCGGACATGGAAGCAGGCTTTGGAGACATGTTCATGAAGGAACCCTCTGTTGGGGAGAGGCAACGGATGGATGTTCCGCACGATGGTTTTTCCGGAAGAAGAAATGCAACGTGTGCAGAAATTCGGAAAAAGCGGAATGTTAGGGTGACGAGGTTTGCCGGATGCTTTGATTGCGCCTGGAAGAGGAAGATCCAACTACAAGTACCCTCTGCAAGGGGATGCTTGAAGTCAAAAGTTTAAAGCTATACTAGACAAAAATGAGGTTCCTGAATCTATTAGGGGACCAACAAATCCAAAACATACTCATCTCATCCCTTTTTCAGGGTCTGCCCTTTTCTGGCCACTGTGTTCTTATGAGAGGCCGACGAAACAACGACGGGAGCTTTGGCCCGGTTCGGTGACGGAGGGGCCTTCCGAAAAGTCCCGGAGGGCGTGACGGAACTGCAGCTTTGGGACCATGACAAATGGCGATAAATCGAGTCTAGTCATGCCCTTATAGAACTTGCAAGTCCAAGACTATAGAACATATGGTCTTTATAGGTGACCCGAAAATAGACATCTCCTGCCTCAAAACTTGGTGCAACCATGTGCAACATATAGAGTCTAGACTTCTTTTTTCGTCATCCTGTTTTAGAGATCCTGATTGCAGCGCTCGCGTGTTGTCCCCCAAAGAAGCCACCATGGGACTAGCAGCGACTAGCAGACATTGGGGTGGTTGACCTGGGGTCCATGTACATCTGTTCCGGTTCTGTGGAGCGTCCGAAGGACGCACCCCGTGGAGGACATGGACTGGCTGAACTCTCTCCCAGCGTGACACCGCTCCTCTATACTCTAGATCTGCCCATGCCAAACCATGGATCCGCCATGTCCACACCCACGGGTGGCACCTGACATGGCTGTGTCTGCAGGCGCAGCCCAAAGATGTGCAGACCGGGCCTCGAGGAAGGAGATCATCTTGAACATAACAAGGAGTGCAGGCAGTGCTTGCTGCCCCTGCGCAGCCTAACGCAAAAAAGCCAGAACTCTTCCAAAGAAACCCTATGAACAATAAAAACTGCCCGTCCGGATCCACGTCCTTGGGATCTATCCTTCACCCCCCTGCACTCCCTTTCTCGCTGCTGATGAACCGCTATTGCGTGCCCGATTCATCGGGCCCCGATTCTTCGGGCCCCTCGTCGTCGTAGAGGGGCCGCGAGGAGCGCTTGGACCAGCGTTCGCCCAGCTCGTCCAGGTCCTTTCCGTGCGCGGCCACGGCAACAGCGAAGCTGCAAGCCGCGGGAGAGCCGCTCGTCTGACCGAGTTTTAGGGGGTGGGGGGTGTTTTGGGCGCGGAAGAGGGGTGGAAGGGTGTGGTTTGATCACAGTGTGTTCGGAAGAATTGATACGATTGATTGATAGGTGAGCTATGGTGGGCGGAACAGGTCTGATTCCAGAAACCATGGCACGTGTTCTATGACTGTTGCAGGATCAAAGGATATAAAAGGGCTGCCCATGGCTGCGTGGGTCCATGTGTGTCGATACAGGCATGGTTGACCGAAAGAATTCATATTATGCCCTATGGATCCACATACCCTCTGAGAAGGTGATTGGGGACACTTTTATCTAGGCTTGGAGGGCTTCTGAGAAGGTATTTGGATCCCTAGGGATGCGTATTGAGATTATTGAGGTTCCTGCCTCACGGACCTGGCCCTTTGGCTTCCCTGAATGAAGTCCCTGTTTTTCGCAGGGGCGTTTTCGGCGACTTCTGCGTCCAGACATCGTCTGCCGGCTGTTTTTCATGAACTTCTGAACTTCTCACTTTGTTGAGATATTCATGTTGGTTCGAAGTTTGAGGGCCGGTACGTGTACAAGATTTGACCCGCAAAAACGCCTCGAGCTTCGGAAGGCTTTCGCAGAGGACCCTGGGAAAACATTCATGTCATCCAAAGGGATGGAACATAAGCTAACTAATTAGCTAAGTTGGCAAATTCTTCAGACGGTAGGTGATGTAGGATTGCTAAGTTGCAACGTTGACTGTAGATTTGCTAACTAAGTCGGGCTAAGTAATTAAGTTGAAGCACCAAACCCCATCCCCAGTGCTGCTGCCACACCGGCCGCACCTCCCCAAGCGGCTCAAAGAGCTTCCCCAGCGCTAAGACCTCAACGTCGGCTGCGGATCCAGAGCTGTTGGTGATTTGAATCTGAGAATATTGGGACAACCAATCCCCCACATACAAATGTGAAAAAATCTGGCCGAAACCGCCCGTTCAAGCGCTGTTTTGAGGAAACTTGTTTATGTTCCCACTACTCTTGGTTTCCAACATGGAGAACACTGTGGGGCACGGGTGGATCAAAACAGAGCCCGTGTGTGTACTACGAGTCTTCGTTCTCAGCGTGAAAGGCTGCGGTCTGACCAGCCGGACGGATGTCACATTGACGGAGGCAAATCTACTAAGAATCTACTAAGAAAGACTCAATCCGACTCAATCCAATGGCTCTGGAGGATTTGGGCACTCCAACATGGTTCTTCAAACCGCAGAATTCCCCAACATGGCTGAACCCCACACAGCCCGACCATTTTTTTGGCGAGGTCGGCAGTCCTGCAGGCCACCCAGGCGGCTTCGGGAAAGGATGAAGCGGCGGCCAGTGAGACAGGGCAATCAACTCAGGTGGGGAACCCGACCGCCCAAAGCACTGGACGGAACATTTTCGTTGGTGCGTAGAAGGGCATTTGTGTACATGATTTTGGCCGAAAGATTCGATGTTCGCGGAGGTTGATGTGCAGAATTACTATGCGTTGTGTAGTTTGTTTACACGAGGTTTCTGTGGATGTAGGTCCTTAAGCATGTCAATGTGCAAAAACACGGTTCTAGAATCGATCCCCTCCAATTGATGAGAACTCGTTCTCCCCACCCGGACAGGACGAAGGGCACGGCATGGTCTATCAGCAAAGCCTCCTGACTCTAGTTGGTTCATTGACACTTCAGCTCGACCGACTGCTTGAAATAGGTTGATTCTTAAGCCACAGCACCCACAACCAACTGGTGCGCCGTGTGCCGTCCGTGGCGCGACAGCTCCATAGTTTTGGAGGTCACTCTCTGACGCCCGGTGAAACGATGCGATGCGGTTCTCTGACACCGGTACTGGATCTACTCATTGCTCCTTCCACCCTGGCCGTTCGTCGGCTAGATATCGGTGGGGACAGCGCACGGGATCGGGTGGAAGACCAAGGCAACCGCGGCGGGAGTGCGGTTCCCAAACACTCCAGGGGACTCCAGGTATGGAATAGTTGCTACACTGGGGGTGGTTTGGGGGATCAATGTAGGTAAACCTTGGGTTTAGCTGCTGTGAATCCAAGCTTCTTGGCTTCTCCCGCGGACGGCTCAGATGGGTACGGCTAGTTCCCCAGCACAACCACTTACACGCGCGAGGATGCGACTCGGTGGACTGTACGACCCCCAGTGCAGCAACCGGATACTGGTGCTTAAGCTCATGAGCAAACTGGTCCAAAACCCACTGCTCTAAGCTCAGGCTGCAGCTCAAACGTGCTTTCCTTGCAACATAGTGAAGGCAAGTTCGATGCAAACCTTCAACAGCGTGCTCCCACCTGTATAGGTGATTGGTACATGCTAATAACTCCCATCTCTCACCTACAAACATGGCAGCTCCTGGAGGATAAATTATCCCAGGACCTCATCTTGCATGTGCACGATTGCGGATAAAACTGCTGAAGAACAGACAGGGCCGTGCTGACCAGACATATCTTCAAGACAATTCGTTTGCAAACTGCGCGCTGAACCGAAAAAAAAAATCATAAAGAATACACACAACACACACACACACAACATACCTCAAGGCACCCATTGTTCCATGTCTTCTGCACAGCCCCGCAAAAATTCCAAACCTTTCCGCTTTTTTAGCAACTTAAGTCTTTCGGGTCGTTTCTGAGAGGTTCCAAGGTGGTACACCCCCCATCTCTCCCCCAACGCAACCTCCCTTCAGCGAAATCAAACAGAAAACGCATCGACAGGTTACCCAATTGACCAAGAAAACTTCAGGGAAATTCAATAGTTCACTGCAGGGAATTCATACACTTCATACCCATACACTTCATCCCCACCTGCTCTTTGAAGAAGTGCTGGGCCACTTTCAGGGCGGCGGTGTTGGAATCAGTGGCTTCTTGGATCAGGCCTCAGTTCCGCTCGGGAACGCGGCTGCAGCAACTACGGCGGGAACAGGTCCCGTGGTGGTTCGATCGAGAAAAGCCCCATGCATGTGCAACATCCCGGAAGGAATTGCCTGGAGTTTGATCCACTTTAATGGACTTTGGATGGGTTTAAGGGTTGATGCACATTTCAAGATGGATTTAGCTACAGTATGAATTTCCTGGGAGGTTCGCAGGATGCTCCGCCCCAAATTTGCCGCAGGACTTCAAATCATATATATATATGTTTTAATATATGTGTGTGCTATATTACTGCAAACATACTTTGATTTGTTTAATATATATATATATATTTGTTGCATCATATATATGCATATATGCTGGAGTTTAGTTGGCTTTAGTCGGGTTGTGCTACATGGTTCTGGTTTGCACCATTTGGCTGTGGGTGAACAAATCTCCGGTCAGATCTGGCTTGTCCATCAAAGTGCTCCAAATGGAAGTGGTCTGTGGATCCAGGTGTGCGAAACAACAAGTCCGGGCCATGCACAGCGCAAGTTTCCTGGCCCTTATGGAGATAGTCGCAAGCTTAAGTAGACATGAACAGGTCCACATGAAGAGAGGTCATGAATGATATCGAAAAATATGCGCCTTCAAAAACACCACTTCCTTCCATCTGCCGCAGAAACCTTCCAAAACACCACCAGGGCACACTCCATGAGACCAGCAGGCCCAAACTGCGCTAAAGCTTGGTTGTGGACCTGGCACTTGAATGTACGATCGCTCGGTTGGCGCGGTCATGATGGCCCCAAAACCCGCTTGGACGAGTCCGTTTCCCAAGCAACGCAATTGAAGAGCGACGTGTGTCATCAATTCCCATCAAACACATTCCAAAACTATGGTGCTTTCCAGAGAGCCTTTTAGTAAGCGCAGGAGGTCCTGGGAGTGCACCTGAAAAATGGTGCACCAATTTCACTAAGCAGTTCTGCGTGCCATCTATGCATACGTCCAAGTCAAGAGAGTCTGCAGGCTTCAGCGCGCTGTTGGACCTCCTGGCAGCTCTCACAAAAAATGGCTTATAAGTGTATTCAATTGTGTGACGTGCGTCATCAATTCCCCTAACTTATCCCGGCAAGAGACCCCAAACAGTGTGTGTGTGTGTGCATATGTGAGGTCTAGAGGTGTAGCAGCAGAAAGTCTAAAGATCTAGACGCATTGGTCCAGAGAGGTGGTGGTGGGTGGTGGGTGGTGGGTGGTGGGTGGTGGTGGTGGTGCTGCCAACTTTGGAAATGTGTAGAGATCTTGGCATTAGGCTACTGAGCTATATAGTGAACTAGCCGTTTCATGGGATTCAATCTATCCCACTTTGGAATCCCAACACGACCAAAACTACGAACATTTTGTGGGCCATCACATGCCACCGCCTCGCAAGGCCATAGTCCATTTCGAGGCAGGCCAAAAAAGGAGGCAACAGGGTGAACAAACATGGGACAAGTGTTTCTATCTTTCTTTCTTTCACCTGAAGGAGCAACCCAAGTGCATCATATGAACAAAACTCGTTCATTCTTCGGCCAGGCCTTGTCATCTACCACTTCGTAGGCCTCCAGCGCCTCGGGCCCTGTATCACCTCGGCGGATGGATGGACCACGGTTCACCAAACATCAACGTTAGGGTCGGAGGGACCGCCGGAATGGTCCAGCCAGGGAGCGATTCAAGCAAGCTTGGGCTTGGTCTGCTTTGGTATTTGATGGCCATGTTGATGTGGCCCAACAGCTCAAGGTCCAACACTGTCCGTCCGAGGAAAGACACATACCTGGGCCTGGACCATCCACACTGGACCACCCTGGAGGCCCAGAGTGTCGTTCGCTGGGGGGGGGTCCAGCGGCAGCCAGGACACACATGTCCTGGTATGAACCATCTTCTGGGCGATACCGAAGATGAAAGCTTTCGGTCATTGCTTCAAGCGAAATCGCACGTGCTGCTTGAAGCTGTGCACGCCACGGCTTCAAGCTGTGAACCATATAATTCGTTGGGATGTTCACCTAGCGCCCATATGCCCATCTTAAGGCAGTCATGCCCACATGTACAGGGGATGAGTCAGGGTGAAGGTACCGGGATGAATCCTAGGGTGCCCATCATCACGACTTCCGCAAGACCTCAACAAGGCCCTATCATGTTCGATGGGTTTACCTAGGTCCTATGATCCACCTTTGGAGGTCTAAACGCGATTCGGCAGTTGCCAGGTGTGCATCACCAGCCAACTGGGCGAAGTACTTCTCTCTGACCGTCGGCACAAGCGGCCACAGATTTGGGACATTGGATTGGCGCCCCCCCCATCGCAATAATCTTCTTCAGCTCGTGTGAAGAAACACCCCGGAAAGTGGGAGAACAGAATAGGGATGCCCACCCTCTCTGCACCTCTCCGCGTCCGTCTTCTTGAACAAAAGGCATCAAAAGGCTATATCCAATTGATTGCCCTCCTCCATTTTCTTCATTCTTCCCATGTCCCCCAAACAATCCAAACCCAAACCACCCAGAATCGTTGATAATCGTCTTGCCACCATGGATGGGTCATTTCATTTCGGGACCATGGATGGGTCATTTCATTTCGGGTGTCCCTGTATGTCACCTCTTCCAATCCCATTCGTCTGGTCGACATGCCTTCAACCTCCCGAGCCACAAAAGCAAGCATACGCCGCCGCACCAACCTTCACATGCACGATGCTTCCTGAGAAGACGAGTCTTTTTTTTCGGTTTCGGCGTGGTAGCGTCCCTGGACCCTGACAGCGTTCCAAAACTTGTCCTACGGTCACCTGAAAATACCTGCATCTCATCTATTCTGTGGCGGTATCATGATGAACCCTTAACAGGATGAAATCCCCTGCATTCGTCGATCCACGGTTCCCTTTCTTGCAGGCCCTCCGATACACAAACACTAGAGTACGGGCGATCCTGAAACCGGCTCTTGGGGACATCAACGTCTGAAACAAATGCCAG